ACAAGTTAACCTCAACATAACTTGTTTCTGGCTATAAGAAACTTATTTTCATGTCCTATACATACTGGAAATAAAAGTATTTTATTTATTTCTCAACAGACAGATTTAGGTCATCTAAGAAAACTAATTTAGTTTTTAAATGATTTATAGTAACAAAAAACAGGAAAAATATTCCAAACAAAGAATTGACTCTGGTAAGTTTACAATAAAAATATTCAGCTTAACTACTTTAAAAACTTAAGTCAATTGAGTAAAGTATTTGTGATTTAGACTGTAAGAGAAATTCTTAAGGAATTCAACTCCTCTAGTCAATACTTTTCTAAATGTCTGCATTGTAATTTAGCATTTTTCATGTATGAGTACAAAAATGATTTGAATATTAGACTGGATTTTACCATAACTTGAAGAGTAAAAAATTATCAAAGCTTCACCTTACATGGCTGTAATATAATGATAACATTTTGTGGAAAATTCCAATAAAAATTGGAATATATTAGGAGCACTGCCAATTGCCCATTTAGTCTGAGTATTCACAGATTATGCATTTCCTCAGAGAAGCAGTAGGCCATATATATGTATGTGTGTGTACACACACACACACACACACACACACACACACACACATATATGGGTCTGGTTTGAAAGAGAAGACAATTTTGGCTAGCATTATCAATTATCACTTTGCTATCAATCCAAAAAACCAAATAAGAAACACAAGAATAAAAACAGCATTGAAAGGGAAAAAAATTTAAATTTAACACCTTCAAGGAATATTTTCCACAATATACCATTTGAAAAATCACAATGAATATGGTTCACAGTCTACATGTACTAAAAAATAAACATGTCAATCACTTGGTGCAAAAGCATAAAACATGGTACCTGTCTTTTTAGCCACCACTGTCAATAAATCCCTTTTTAAAAATTAACTTTGTCATTAAAAGTCTAATGTCACTATGAATATCAAATGATAATTAGAGCAACATATGTAAATGTTTCTTAGTCAGATTAATGCAGTCATGATTATCTGGGTAACTTAGAACATTCTCCCAGGTTATTTGAATGGTGTCTTAGAAGGGCTTATTGAAATGAACCTTCAATACCCCCAATTCAAGCTCATAGGTGATGATCAACACTCCAGCCCACTTCACAGACTTCAAAGTGTATGGCCCAAAGTATATGGAGAGGAGGGGATTTCAAGGTGCCCACGCCAAGTCATCTTACCTCTGTTATACTATCTACCCAATGTAACATGAATTTCCTACCAAGCCTTTACTTTGGGCTAAAAGTAGAGACTTTCCATTTATCGATTTCAACTTTAGAGGAGACAGTCATCCCTAGAAAAAGAGGTTGGTTTACTGTCCCTAACCATTAAATCTCCAGTATTACAAATAATGTAGGATGTGCAGACAGCAAGGGGAAAAGGACTAAGATGCCTATGTACAAGACATTGGGATAGCTCAACTCAAAGTTTTACAATATAAACATTCACAAAGACTTGAGACAAAACTTTAGCAGTTTCTCATAATGTCCTGGAGTTGAGCAGATTTGACAAGGGAGATCAGAATTGGTGAGTCTTGCCCTCTGTTAGTGGTTTTGATCTGTCCTAAGATGTTCTCAATCACGTGCTTTTTGTTGAACAATCTAACAAAATGCCACACAGGGTAGGGAAATCTCTGTGACACTCACTTTTGGCCAGTGAACAACAGTCCTAAATCATCCCAGGCTTGAAACAGAGATAAGTTCTGATGCATTATCTAGTCTGAGACTAAACTCAACACATAAGCAAACACAATTCCCTGGATTTCTGCTTCCACTTTCCCTACAATTACAGGCCTTGTATATAAAGCTAATTTTTCTTAAAATGTAACTCTAATAATAAAGACTTTAAATCTTTCTCTTTCCCAATTAAAAAAACTAGTGGATTAAAAATACAGGTACCTTGATTTTAAGTAGACAGTTAATCGACAAATGATTAAATATACAACTAATAACCAAGCAAAAAAAGTATGGAGCAAACTCAGTTTTACAATTAGGTATTTTTTCCTAACCCAGTTTCCCCATAGACAAGGATCTAAGAAACTCATCAAAACATGTTGCTTTTAGTATATACACCATCTGATGCAAGTTACTAGGGGGAAATATAGGAAACTGTATAGCATTAGTAAATGAATTAAAAAACTAAATGATTCATGTAAAATGTTTATATATGGTATATACAGATTGGATCACATGAGTCTAAGAATAAAACTGTTCCAATTCATAACCGCTATATGGATACAGTAAGATACAGTACAAGATTCATTTTTAAAAAGAAGGAAAAATAGCACTAACCACTGAAAATGGCTCTTACAAAATCTTTAAAAACAGACTTCAGAAAAAGATGCTGAAACAAACAAAACAAAATAGAAAGTCTTCTCTGTCATCACAGAATAGTCAAAGGACACCTCACAGCATGAAGCATGATGAGGGTTGTTTCCCTTCGCTTATGGTGCACACAGGATATGCATTGGGAATTTATTCCATGTAAGAGTAAAGGCATAAGGCAACCAGGTCTCCTTCTGTTTCTGCTGCATTTACCTAAAACACCACTTTATTGCTCAGCTCACTTTTAAGTACTCATTTGCCTTCGTTTAAAAACATTCCATTTTACAGCTATCTACAGATGGGCAGCCCTTGGTGCTTATATTTCTCTGTAGCTCTGCCACTTGCAAAGATTCCACCTTAACTTCAAACTGACTGCATGAAGGAAGTGGCATTTTCGGGTATTCAGGTTTGCCCAGTAGTCAACATTTGCTGGGTTTGGAGAAAACAAGGATCTTTAATAAGAGATCTTAAGTCTAAGCAACCAAAATCAAACTTATTTTGCTCAAGTAAATAGATTTTAACATCAAGATTTATAATCAACAAGAAAATAAAAGTTCAAAAACTAAAACCCTACTGGGTAACTCTTTGGTTAAGTTCTACAAGTATTAGCAATTTCTAAGTTTAGGACTCAAAACAGTAAGTTCAATAAACTGCCAGTTAAGAGGAGGTCTGTTATTAATCTTTATAAAATGCTTGGCATGTTTGCATGTACTATTTGATATTTTTAAAATGTGCATGTACTCAAACGAATGGTACAAACTTCCAGCTTTCAAATAATAAATGAGTATGTCTGCTCCTCCCTTCCCACCCTTCCTACCCCCTTCCTCCCTCCCCTCCCCACCCACCCCCAAGTCTTAGAGTTAAGGATCCTACTGCCATTCTCTGCAAGAATACAAGCTTTCCTAACACTCACGACGTGCATTACTGCCCAGCTCCCTTTACAGCCACTGCTAGGTGTCTTCCTGCACCTGTCTTGGCGTCCTGGGCAGCCTTGCCCTCTTAGGGGGCAGCGCCCTTTTCTCCCTTTTGACAGTAAGGGCTGCTATTTCAATCAGTGGAACCAAGAGCTTCTGGCGACAAGCCGATGAAAAAGGGCACCTCCGCAGTGAGGAGGATCACTGTCTACAAGTTTAAGCCACAGGCGAAGACTTTTTTTACTCTGTACAGGAAAGATAGGATCCTTCACTGTGCCAGCACTAGATTGTTCTGCTTTTACCTGTAACTTTTCAAAACTTTATTCATTTACAGTCACTGGACTGCCTCCATGCGGTCCTGATTTCAGGATCAGTCTTCCATTCAGCCTTCTAAAACTCAACCTTCAAAGACAGTCCAAAAGACTGTATAATGGCCGTTTAAAACACTAACTATCCCCAGTGTTATCAATTCTGATCTTTTAAACCGCAAATGAGTCATAAGGGCTCGAGAAGATTTCAAAGAATCTTCTACACACTGGACACGGTCCAATTAAGTTCTGAACAATTCAATCATTGCCAGGTACTTGGTGACTTTGTGGCCACATTGCCCCACCAGATCCAGACGGAAGTCCCACCTGGGGAGGAGCACTTTGCGGCAGGGAGTAGAGGAAGCGTGGGGTTGGGGGGGGTTCGTTTTCGGGTTTTTTTGGTTTGGGGGGTTCCAAGGAGGCCAAAGAGGCCCGGGGGTTTTTTGGTTGCGGTTTTTGGGGGTTGGGGGGCGGGTTTTGGCCCGTTACTTCTGGGGGGGGGGGCCCGGGGAGGGGAGCCTGGGGACAGAGGAGGAGCGGGAGGATCTGCAATCATCTCTCGGGCAGGAAGGAAGGGGAGTGGGCGCTGGAGTCGCGAGGGGGTCTGGGGAGCTCACTCCCTGCAGAAGACGTACTCGGTGTAGCTGGTCCAGATCTTGTCCTCGCTCTGGTCGGTGCTGCTGGCAAAGGCGCAGGTGCCCGTGGAGCTGCATGCCACCATGTGGAAGCCCGAGTCGGACAGCTTGTCGAAGGCCTGCTCAAGGAAGTTGAACTTGAGGTAATAGCGCGAGGTGTAGCGCTCCGGGGGCCGGTCCGGGTCCCGGCTCTCATTCAGGGTGTCCCCAAACACCTCCTTAGCCAGCGACGTCTTGCCGCACACGGTGATGCGCGCCACCCGCCGGAACTTGGCGTCCGCCTGCGCGTCCCGCCCGATGGTGTAGGAGCCGCGGTAGCCGATGGTGATGTAGCCAGAGCGCCGGCTGCCGTCCAGCGACTGGGACGGCGTGAGCAGCGGGCCCGCCGCGCCCCCGGACGGGCTGCGGCTAGCCAGCTCCAGCGTGGGCGACGGCGCCCCGCCAGAGGCGCCCTCTTGCTGCTCCAGCTCTGTGTAGCCGAGTGGCAGTAGCTCGTCGCCCAGCGAGCCCTCCTTGTGCACCCCGCGTCGCGAGTGCGGTGGCGGCGGCCCCGGGCCGGGCTGCTGGGGCGCCCCGAGGCGGCGCACGAGCTCCGGCAACTCGAAGTACTCGGCCTCGCGCTGCAGCCGGCTGCGCTCCGGGAAGTAGTCGGGCAGCACGAGCTGCAAGTCCCGCAGGTAATCCAGGATGTAGCGGAAGAGGAAGCCGTCCCGGTCCAGAAAGAAGCGGCCTTTGCTGTCCCGGGCCAGCTCCTGCGGCTGCTGCTGCGTGAACATGCGCCAGAGCAGCGAGTCGGGCACCGACACCACCGTGCAGCGCCGCGTCACGTACACCTGGCCCCCCACGTTCAGCTCCACGATATCGGGGAAGAGCGGCGGCTCCGCGGAGGACGACGAGGAGCCGCTGCCGCCCCCGCCGCCTCCCCCGTTGGGTAATCCACGTGTGCTGTCCGCCAGAGCCATGGCAAAGAAGCGGCCGGGCCGGGGCAGTGGCAGGGAGCGGGGCCGCACTCGGGAGCCGCAGCCGCCTTTCGCGGAGCCCCGGAGCCCGGACGCTCGTTCAGCCCCGTGCCCCGACCGCTGCCGCAGCCGCCGCCGCCGCCGAGAGCCGCGCAGAGCCGAGCGGTGCTAGCGCGCCGCTGTGCGCCCCCGTGAGCTCCGGTGCGCTCCGCCCGCCTCGCCCGCGCGCTCCAGGCGAGTGCCGGGTCGCGGCCCGCGCGCTGCTTAAGTAGAGCCGCGGGCTGGGGCGCAGCGGCGCGCAGGAGGCGGGGGCGGCTGCGGAGCGGCGGAGCCTGGCTCGCCCGGCGGGGTGGGGCGGGAGGGAGTGGGGACTCGTTTTGCATCTTAAACGCTGACGCCGCGCTGGGCTGCCGGCTCCGCCCCGGCTCGAGCGCGCGCGGGGGGCGACCCGACTCCCACCCGCGCCCCCCAGCCCCGCCCCGCGCTGCGGCCCAACTTTCTCCCTCTCCCGAAGTGGGGCAGGCCACCGGGAAGACGGCTCTTCTTTGGAGGAGCAGTCACTGCGCCCTCTCCCCTGGTGACCCCACCCCGTGCCTGGGGACTCTGGAAAGAAGACGTAAACTTCCCGGCGCCTCTGGATCCCCGGGAGTGGAAATGTGTGGACGCCTCGGGCCGAGCCGCCTCCGTACTGCCGCTTGGAATAGTGCAGCTGTGGCGCTGCCGTAGTCGTCGTGTTACTGAAAGTTCTCCGGAGAGACGAAAGGGCCGCCCCAGCCCTGGGGCAGCCAGATTTTGTTCACGTTGCCGTGCAGTCCTAAAAAAAAAAACCCTAGAAACAAAAAGCAAACTTCAGTGTCCAGGATGCTTTACAATAGTTTATTTTCTGGGTGCAGAGAGAAAGTGATTGGTTGGGAGAGCTCAAATAGTTGGAATTTAGCAGAAATGGCAACAGAGGAACTTGGGCGAGCTAAGGAGTGACTTCGGGGCGCGTTCCCACAAGGGAGGCAGACGCGGCCTCCTCCCTCAGAGCCTTCGAGGCCAGACGAAGGGAAGGGATATATAAGGCCAGGGAACCTTCTGTCCCCGTCCCTTTCAGTGCCCCGCGTGCCCATCCTCCCAAAGGTCCAGGCGCCCCTGCTCGCCTCCGTCATCCCAGGTTCCCTCCAATCTCAAGGAGGATATTTGTATATTTGAAGGTCCTCTTCTTGTTCCCGTCTGGTTCTCCAACTCCTGCTGCCTGCACATTAGCATTCACTGTCGGATTGCTGCTTGCAGAGCTCCTCACCCTAGAAGCTTTTCCTTGGCTTCCCAGGCGGGTGGGGCCTCTGGATTGCTCCCTACACACGCTTTGCGTAGCACCCAGCACGTTCTGAGATTTCATATTTATGAGTGACTATCTGATCACTGATTTGGGGTATAAAAATAAATAAATGCTCCTGAGCCCTGCAAGAAGACAGAGGAGAGGGTGAAGAGAAATGCTAAGAAATCATCCCGTCAAGGACTGTTTGCTGTGCACCTGCTGTTTGCAGGGAACCAGGTAGTGAAATGCGCGGTTGAGTAATCTCCCAGGCACTTCCACTGTAGCCCAATAAGCAAAGGGTCAGAGATTTGAGCAGTTATCAGATCATTTTGAAGTACAGATCGCCCATCGGGATAAATCAGGCAAGATCTTTGTTCTTAATAATGTTTTACCCTTCTGCGTAACTGCCCAGTGAGCTTCACAGTCTCCTCACGGATAAGTGTCATTTTCGTTTTGAAATGTTTATGTCTGCTGAGCAATTATTGCACTCATGTCAGTGTGCTGAAATGAGATCAAGCCCCAAACCAGCTCGCTTAATTGCAAGTACAGATTTTGATACCGAATATATTTCACCACTCTTTTTTTTTTCTGTCATGTTCTTTGGGATAAATAATAGATGACACAAAAGTTCCAGTGCAGGATTTCTAGGTAGTTGTGCTTCTATTTGTTATATCAGTGTCACAGACCTGACAAAACCAGTCTCTTTTCTGTAAATCCAAGAAAAGCCTTCTTTGTATCCGTTCTGCACATATTTTTGTATCATTACTTTGTTCATTGCATCAGCAAATCCTATCAGCTCTACCTTCAAAATCCTTCCAGACTATTAACATGTTTCACCAGCCTGGACCAAGCCACCATCACCTCTTGCCTGGATTATTGCAATGTTCTAATTGCTTCCACCTATACCCCTACAGTCTTTTATCACCAGAACAAAAACAAAGACTCTTTGTTATACCCAAAGGCAGGTATATCACTCTGCTCAACGCCCCCACTCCCACACAGTGGCTTCCCATATTGCACAAGAGCAGAAACTAAAGTCCTTGCAGTGGCCTACAACTGTGGTCCCCAACCCCCAGGCCATGGACCAATACCAGGCTGTGGCCTGTTAGGGACCAGGCTGCAGAGCTCCACTGTGCCCCTCCCCAGCCCCTCCATGGAAAAATTGCCTTCCATGAAACTTAGGAACCAGGGGGCTGCACAGCAGAAGGTGAGTGGGATGGGGCAAGTGAGAGAATTTACAGCTGCTCCCCGTTGCTAGCATCACCACCTGAGCTCCCCTTCCCCACACCCCACACAACTCCTGTCTGTGGAAAAATTGTCTTCCATGAAACCGGTCCCTGGTGCCAAAAAGGTTGGGGATGGCTGGACAAGACTCTACATGTTTGGAGCTGTCCCACTAACACCTCTCTGATCCATCTGCCACTCCCCCAGGAGTTGGCTGGCTTTAGCCACATAGCCCCTTTCCTGTTTTCTTAGGGCCTCTGCATTCCTTTTCCCTTTGCCTAAAAGCCTCATTCCCACCCCGCCTTATCTTCCTCACCTTGTGCAGGTGCCTCCCTTCTCACCATCTTCCGGTCTCTAGGGCAAGACCTTTCCTCCATGCCCCTACTTAACACAGCACAGCCCCACTCAAGCAGCCTCCCCTTCCTTATTTGTTGACTGTTTCGCTGCATTAGAATGTAAACTCCAAAAGTTGGGAGATGTTAGTCTGCTTGATTCATCGCTACACTCTCAATGCCTACAACGGAGGTGGCGTATTACAGGCATTCAAATGTCTGTTGCTCACTCACGTACTCCACCAATATTTATTCAGGGTTTACTACTATGTTCTAGGCAGTGTTAAAAAATAATCACTGCCCTCCAGGAGCTTACAGTCTAGTAACAGAGACAGTTAATAAATACAGTATAAAGATAGGTAAGTCCATTTCAGATGGTGACAAATGCCACAAAGAAAATAAAATTGTGAAATGAGATAGAGGAACTGAGTGTGGAGATACTACTTTATATAGGGAGTGCCTGAGGAAGGCCTCTCTGTGAAAGTGACATTTGAGCTGAATAATAAGAAAGAGACAGCCATGAGAAGTTCTGGAGGAAGAGTATTCCAGGCAGAGGGCCAAACATGTTAAAGGGGCCTGGGTTAGGAATGAAATTAGCATGTCTCGCAGAAAAAGTGTATGTATTGTATCATCTGCTCGTATCCTGTGAATCTCTAAAGTACCCTTAAAGTGATCAGCACAAACTCAAATGTAAGAGATACTATGTGCTTATATACTACAAGCTGCCTACTACCATTGTTCTCTATTTCTTGCCATAAGATATTCGTCCACCGCAAGCTAGTCTTCTGCAGGAAAGCCATTGGTATTTCCTTATAGAAGCCAGGTTGTGCATGAGTGACATAATAATGAATGGAACATATGATTTGAGACAGAAGGAATAATTTTCCGGTTAATTTTGGGTGTTCTGTCTTGCCTGTTGGTTGATGAAGAGGAAATATAATTGGGGAACTCATGCTGGGATTTGAGGGCCTGGGCGTTTAGGAGAAGAAGGGAGTCACGATGCTTTAGCATCTCCAGTTTGTTAAATAAAGTTTAATTGGAAGGGGGCAAGGGAGGATTAGGAAACCACTAGCCCTGTGTTTAGTCTCAACCCAGTTCCTAGTGATGGATACATTGATGGTCATTGTTCCTCTTCAAGTGACTCTTTATACTATCCTACATAAGAGACAGTGTGCTTGCAAGTACTTTGTCCTTTGTTCCTAAAGTGTGGGATTTTGGAAATATCTCTGGACCTAGATTCTCATCTCATTTGTATCTTCTCACCACTTACTGCCTTCTCCTCAAACTGGCTTCTCACTACACTCCCCACCAAAGCTCTTAGTAAATACAGTATTCCTCCTTAATCCAAAGTTTCAATATCAGTGGTTTCAAGTGCCCAAGGTCAACTGTGGTTTGAAAATATTAAATGGAAAATTCCAGAAATAAACAATTCATAAATTTAAAATTGCATGCCGTTCTGAGTACTGTGATGGAATCTCCCGTGGTCCCATTTCGTCTGGCCCTAGACATGAATCGTCCCTTTGTCCAGTGTATCCACACTATCTACGCTCCCTGACCATGAGTCACTTAGTAGCCGTCTCAGTTTTCAGATCTGACTATCTCTGTATCACAGTGCTTGAGTTCAGGTAACACTTAGTTTACTTAATAATGGCCGCAAAGTGCAAGGGTGGTAATGCTGGCAATTCACATGTGCCAAAGAGAAGTCAAAAAGTGCTTCCTTTAAGTGAAAAGGTAAAAGTGCTCAACTTAATAATGAAAGAAAATAATCATGTACTAAAATCTACAGAAGAACATAGAAATTGTGAAATTTCTATCTGTGAAATTGTGAAGAAGGAAAAAGAAATTTGTGCTAGTGTTGCTGTCACACCTTCGATTGCAAAACTAATGGCCACACTGGGTCATAAGTGCTTAGTTAAGATGAAAGAGGCATTAAATTTTTTGGGTGGAAGACATGAACAGCAATGTGTTCCGATGGACAGCAATCAAGGTTGGTACTACCTGCTGTTTCAGGCATCTACTGAGGGTCTTGGAACATGTCCCCCCTGGATAAGGAGGGACTACTGAATTCTGCACACCAAAGATTTGAGGAAAGGAATGAAGAACATTAAGAGAAATAAAAAGTTAAAAGAGGAGGAAGAACTGTGGCGAAATGAAGTGAGTGCCTCTGAGGATTGAATGAATTTAATATATGTGAAAATGATCAATGAGTTGTAAAACACAAATCAAGTGTCAGAATCATTATTTTCTACCACTTACAATGGTGCCTGACAAGTCTTCTCCATAAATACTGAATGAATAAATGAATGGCAGAAACATTAAAATGAATCTGTGGGGAAAGGGAAGGAGAGGCAGAATCAGAAATTGTCCTGAACAAATGTTTAATCCATTTATCATCCTCCCA